CGCTGAGGTGCTGGTGCTGTCCCTGCTGAGTCTGGAGCTGCCGCGCGGCCTCGGCCGTACTTCGTTCCGCTCCTTCAGCAGGTTCTTGGTCTTCTCCTCCAGTAGAGGGTCCACCGCCTGTCCAGTCGCAGCCCTACTAGAGCCTTCCTCTCCACTGCCTGCTCCCTCTCCTTACACTGGTCCTACTGGAGGTCTTGCTGAGCGTCGTGAGCCTGCGTCTCGTCCCGCGTCGCCTGTTCGTGCTGCTCGCGCTAGTGGTCGCAGTTCGCGTCAGCGTCCTCCTCCTGTCCCTGGCACGCACCGGATGTCTTTACGTCACGTCCTCTCTTCCTCTGCGTGCCCCTTGCGTGCCCTTCTCTCCTCCTGAGTCCTCTCTTCCTGCGCTTGCGGACCCTGAGTCGGACTCTCTTCGTGCTGCCAGTCCCACTGTCACGCGTCTGCTTGCTACTGTCGTCACTGACCCCTCTTTTGAGTCCACTGCTGCGTCTGCTCTAGTCGCTGGCTCGTTGACTTTGCTGCTCGCTGTCGTCTCGACTACGCTGCTAGTCTTGTTGCTGAGTCTGCGTGCTGTCTGTCCTCCGTCCGTCGGGGGTGAGTGTGCTCTTGGCACGGACGTCCTAGAGGACAGGCAGGAGGAGTTACAGTGTCTAGCAGCTGCTTCACCTCATCTCGCGTCTGTACTGCTTGCCCCTGAGGGAGACCGGATGCACTAGACATCCCGACTCCGCGTTCTTACGCGGAGGCGTAGAGGGTCCCTACTCCTCTCAGTGGCAGGCAGCTATGGATGCAGAGATGGCTTCCTGGAAGTCCACAGGCACCTACGTTGACGCGGTTCCCCCTCCTGGGGCGAACATCGTCAGTGGCATGTGGATCTTCAGGGTGAAGCGGCCGCCGGGCTCTCCACCTGTCTTCAAGGCACGGTACGTTGCTCGTGGCTTCAGTCAGCGGCAGGGAGTTGACTACTTCATCACCTTCTCTCCACCCCCAAGATGACTACTCTTCGGGTGCTGCTGCACATAGCCGCTCAGCGCGACTACGAGCTTCACTCTCTCGACTTCAGCACTGCGTTCTTGCAGGGTAGCCTGCACGAGGAGATCTGGCTTCGCCGTCCCACCTGGCTTCACTGGGACTTTCCTCCTGGCACCCAGTGGAGCCTCCGACGGCCAGTCTACGGTCTCCGCCAGCACCGCGTGAGTGGCACGACACACTGAGGACTACGCTTGCGGCTCTTGGGTTTGCTCCTTCTACTGCTGACCCGTCGCTGTTTCTTCGCACCGACACTTCCCTGCCGCCGTTCTACATCCTCTGTGTACGTCGACGACCTGGTCTTTGCCACAGCGGACACTGCTGGACTCGCCTACGTGAAGTCCGAGCTGTTGAGAGACACACGTGCACAGACCTGGGTGAACTGCGCAGCTACCTTGGCTTGCAGATCACTCGGGACAGCACACGCACCGCACCATTACCTTGACTCAGTCACACATGGTGCAGCAGGTCCTTCAGCGCTTCGGCTTCACGTACTCCTCGCCTCAGGCCACTCCTCTGCCTACTCGCCACTCACTCTCAGCTCTGCCTTCGGATGAGTCCGTAGAGTCGAGTGGTCCGTATGCGGAGCTTGTTGGCTGCCTCATGTACCTGATGACCTGCACACGACCTGACCTTGCATACCCTCTGAGCATTCTTGCACGCTATGTTGCTCCTGGAGACACAGACCGGAGCACATGGCTGCAGCGAAGAGGGTATTGCGCTACCTGTGCAGTACGTCAGGCATGGGGCTAGTGCTTGGAGGGCGGAGTCCAGTGGTCCTTACCGGCCACGCGGACGCTTCTTGGGCTGACGACCAGGCTACGCAGCGGTCGTCACAGGGTTACACCTTCAGCCTTGGTTCCGGCTCTGTCTCGTGGCGGTCTACTCGCTCTCTTCTTCGGTTCTCGGCTCCAGTTGTGAGGCTGAGATCTACGCCGGGGCCATGCTGCACAGGAGCTTCGCTGGCTCACCTACCTGCTGACTGACCTTGGAGAGCCGCCTCGTTCTCCTCTAGTGCTGTACGTAGACAACAAGGCTATGCTGGCCTTGTGTCGAGAGCAGCGCTTGGAGCACAGAACGAAGCACATTGCTCTCCGCTATTTCCTTGCTCGTGAGCTGCAGCAGCGTGGTCAGTTGCGACTTGCGTACGTGGCCTCTGAGGCCAACACTGCTGATGTGTTCACCAAGGCACTTGCGCCTTGTGACCATCAGCGCTTCTGCACCCAGCTGGGTCTTGTGCCTGTCTTGCCTCACTTGCTCTCCTCTTGACTTCACTTGTACTGTGACATATATATATACCTGCTCTTGCTTGTCTAGCTTTATATATATGTCTGTACTCTTGCTTGTGAACTGGCCTTTGGCCTTGCTCTTGTGCTCGGACTGTGTGGTGACTTTGTGATCCACCCTGAGCTTTGCTTTGTCTTGCTTGACTGGTCTTGTGACCCCTTGTTCTCCCCCACTTTGCCTATGGGGGTGTGTCAGAACATATCTATAGCTTATACTGCTGTGTAGGCTGTAGTGGGGTATCCCATAAGGGTACAACCCAGTTAGGGTTTCATATTTGTACTGCTTTCATTCATAGTTCATTCATTTCCTGTTTTCCTATTTTCACAAGCTCCACCTTCGGACGAATCTACCTCCTCGCGTTACTTGTGCAGCACATCATTGGGGCATGTGCTTGGAGGATGGGGTTCGGTGGTCCTCACAGGACACTCTGACGCTTCTTGGGCCGACGACTAGACGACTCAGCGTTCGTCACATGGTTACACCTTCAGTCTTGGCTCTGGTTCTGTCTCGTTGAGGTCCACTCGTTCTTCTTCTGTGCTTGGTTCCAGCTGTGAGGGTGAGATCTACGCTGGGGCCATGGCTGCACAGGAGCTACGCTGGCTGACCTACCTGCTGACCGACTTGGGGGAGCGGCTTCGTTCTCCTCCAGTTCTGTACGTGGACAACAAGGCAATGCTTAGTGCCAACTAATGCCCTATGAGGATTGTACGTTTTGGACCCTTTGCGTTTAGCGTTTGTACGCTAGCGTGTCACGCAAAACGCTATACGCAGCCCAATTTTTGAACAAGGCAGCGCGCCGACCCAAAAAAAAACGAATAGCTCAAAACCTGCGGAATTGCACAACGAGCACTTCTGCAAAGTCAGATTGCACGTCACGTGTCTGTCCTGGCTGGAAAGTGGGTTCAATGTCCTGGAGGGTCCAGGTTGGAGTCGCGATTTCCACCAATACATTTTGCATGTTCACAATGGCAAGGTCAAGTATCTGGAGTCGCGCTTTCACGTATTCACGTAATAAGCCCACCACTTCACCACATTCAAAACCACAGCATCTATTGAGTCCAACCGCTCGTCCCCTCATTACCGTCACTCTACATGCTATTAAGCCACTGCTCAAAATGTCAATGTCATTCGTTTTCAACTCCCGCTACCTAGTTAGCGCGGTCCTATCCTACTTTGTATCCATTCGCGACTATGTCCAGCTCTCCTCCTCTCACGCCGCCTTCGTCCAGTGTGGAGAGTTCGGGGCCTCGTCCAGCTGCGTCAAGGGAATACCTTGCCAATGTAGATCACAAAGTGTTTTGGCACTTCAGTATCATCAACGGGAGGAGGGCAAGGCACAACAGTACGAGTTCAAATTCTTCTTCAATTTGTTCACAGGTGCCGCCATCCGTTGGGCTCAGCACCTGACTTCATGGAAGAAGATGAAGCGCTGGGAGGTGTCTGTTTGCAAGAAGGCCCCGGCTGATGTTCGCCTTGCAATGAAGTCCGAGTACGAGAAGCAGGCTACGGATGCAGAGGAGAGGCGCCGATCCACTGAGGCTGCGATTGCCGCGGTGAAACCCAGTGGGAAGCGGGCCCGCATGACCGACTATCTCGAGGGTGACGCAGCAGCGGAAAAACACGAAGCACTTCGTCGCTTGCGCTGATGTTTTGCCGGATGTCACATCATGGAGCAGATCGTCGACTATCCTCTCTTCGTCAACGCAATCAAAGACGTCGCCCGCGCCGGCCACGGCTATGTTTCTCGAGGGCAGAAGTACACCGGCGGTACGGTGTGCAAGCTTGCTGGCAAGGCATTGAAAGCCGGTCGGTGGGCATCAAGGCAAGCTGGAAAAAAAACATGAGGTTACCGTAGTGTCCAATCATGATGACGGACAGAACGGGAGGCCGCAAGCAAATGTCTTCCTCCTCGTTACAAGCGGGCGCCGTGTTGGTGGAGTGCGTGGACTGTAACATAGGAGAAGAAAGACAGGGGCGGGGTTACTGAGGCCCGGGGTGGAGGAGGTGGGGGCGGAGAACATCGTGGCCTTTTTGTACGGCCGGGGGCTCCAATTACTCGGTAGTGTGCCAGCAGTTGAATGCTGAAGTGGCCCCCACATTCAGCAAGTTCATGTGCGACCCACCTGTTTAGATCTCTCCTGAGAAGACGTGGGGTGGGAAGCTTGGGTGGGCGAAAAAGGGTGGTGGATCGGGCTGCGGAGATGACGTCCTTCGTCCGCAATCACCACTGGACTCGGGGGTACTTGCGGAACACCGGAGCTGGTCGGGGGAACCGTGTTGCAGGCCTTGGACGCAAGCAGGAACCCGCTTCGTGACACAGTATATAGTTTGTCCCGACTGTGTGAGGTCTGTAACTCCCTTATCCAGATGGTGCTCTCCGACCTGTGGAAAGAGTGGGCTGTGGACGCGGAAGGTGGCTGCTGAGGGGTTTGACGCACTGGTACTCGACGGCTTGGTGAAAGGCTGCCGAATTCTTCGTGAAGCTCATGAAGCTCCCCTACATTGCGATGCGTGAGACGGATGGGAGCACTAAGGGGATGATGCGGCGCATATATGACATTAGGCTCCAACTCACCGATAATGTAGGGGACCTTGTCGACGCGGATGAGGGGCAGTTGAGCAACAATGACAATCAGCAGATCTGCCACATCTTGAAAAACAGGTGGGACGGGAGTCTTGCGTGCGCCATGCACGTGGCACGATGCATCCTCAACCCCGCCAACCAATCGGAGGACATACTTGGTGGGAATGCCGAATGGACTAGGATATTTAAGGCCTTCATCTCCAACCATGCGAAGTTCCTGAGCAGCAGCCGTCGGAAGGAGGGGGATGATGAGTGCGACTACTTGCTCACCTTGGGGGACCAGTTGAGGTCTTCCCTTGATCTCAAAGGGAGTTTTGGGATGGCTGACGCTATTGCACAGAGGGAGAAGGTAAAGGCGGGCACTTACAGCATGGTTACATGGAACAGGGCAGATGCGCCCCAGCTGACGGCGCTCGCCGTAAGGGTTCTCTCGCAACCCGTCTCAGCTTCTCCTTGTGAGCGTGGTTGGGCAGGGTGGGAATCAGTCCACACTGCCCGCCGGAACCATGTTGAATCCGCCAAATGCACGGATTTGGTGTACGTTGCACACAACTGGAACGTTGTGCGCAACTGGCACACGCGTGATGATGTGATGCCCTCAATCGTTCGCGGGAATGAGGTGGAGCCGCCCATCCCCGCTGGCTACAAGGTCGCGGATGAGATGGAGGAAGGTGATGACGAAGTCTTGGCGGACGAGTTTGAGAAGTAGAAAAGACTATGGGGTCAAGAAGGGGGTAAGTGGTGGTGGTAGAGTAGAGAAGATAGTAGTGAGTCACATTGATGTTCTATGTATGGCCATGGAATAGTTTTATAACGAGGGCAAAAAAAATTGTAAAAGCACATCCCACCAGAACCCCCCTTGCACTCCCGGAGTGTTTTTTTGCCCTGCCCGTAAAATGTTTTTACCTGCCCAGAAAAGCGTATGCTTGAGCAGACCCCTCCTGCGTATAGCGTGCACACACTAGCGTATATATGACACGCGTATATGCGCTATAAGCGTATAATCCATCATAGACTAAGGCTACCATGTTATGCATGCTCTCTAATTACAACGGACAAGAAAATAACATTCAACAAGAACTAAGGGGAAAGTTTAAATATGAGGTTAACAATGAACACCATTCAGTACCAATCAAGAAAGCATTCCCTATGCAACACCACATGTATACCCATGGTTGGCACATACACATGGTCCCATGGATGCCACATGGTCGTGGATGTCACATGCCTGTGGATACCATATGCCATGGATGTCACATGCCTGTGGAGGCCACATGGCGTGGATGTCACATGCCCGTGGATGCCACATGCCGTGGATGCGAAGCCAGCGCTCTGTAGACCCCTCTCCACATTGTCATCTCTCATATTGCTTCCTCATTTCTCTTCTTCACCTCCTACTTCGCTCGTCTCACCCGACCATCCTCATATGCCTCTTCTTCCTCTTCCTCTTCTGCCTCCTCCTTGTCCACGTCCACTTTCCCTTTTGCTCCGCTTCTAGTTGACTCGTCATTCTTCTTCCCATTCATCTCTTCTGCCAGCACATGTTCGTCCCCTTCTGCTCCCTCCTCCAGACTCCCACTCTTACTCAACAACTAATTTCATCTTCACTCCCTGCACTCCACTTTCTCAGAATAACTTGCACTGAGGCAACTCTCATCCAACCTTCTCCCGTCACTTGCCCCTCCCCCCTTCAGCGAAATCTCTCACAACTACCTTACCGGCCGCGCACTGAAGCCTCTAGCTGCGCGCACCCTGGATCTCTCCAGCAACTTCCTCTCGGGCCCTCTGCCCAACGGGGCATGCCAACCTCTTTCTTTTGATGCCAACTGCTTCACGCTGCCACTGGGCTCTGCCTTGGTGCCGCAGCGGCAGGAGGCAGCATGCAATGCATTCTGTGGCGTCTCTTCTGTAGCTGGTGGTGCTGCTGCGTGTGGTGGACATGGGGTGTGCTATCCACAGGGGCCTAGCTTGGCACCCACATGTCTGTGTGATGCAGGATTCGTGCGATCTAGAGACATCGGCTGTGTTGCTCAAGGTAGGGGCGCCACTTGAAGTCGATGGAACATGACTGCAGATTCACAGAATGGTGGTAAATTTGTGCCAAACCACATGCACTCCAATAACTTGGTTTTATTAACCTGTTCGACCTTGTTTGTTTTTGTAAGCCTTGCACGTCATTGCACCTTCTCATGCCTCCATATCCCATTCGTGTCTGTCCGTCTTTTACATTTGTTTGTGTAGGCCAAAACAGGAGTTACTCTAGCAGCCAGCTGATTCTCCCACCAGCTTCTGCGCTCACCAAAGGGACACAGCGGGAGACGAGGGGGAGCTTCACGGCAGCGCCAGTGACGCTGTTTGTGTATGAGGCAGGGCAGGCGCTGTCAGGGTGTGGGCTGCAACTCGCCTTCCATGCCAACTTCAGCTTCTCCCTCTTTCCTCAATCCGGTCGCGTTGGCTTCAACGGCTTTGCCTTTGTTGTCTCGGCAACCGACCGGGTGGGGAGAGGCACCGGTGTGGGGTATGGGGGAATGGACAAGCGGAGTGTGGCAGTTGAGTTTGACACTCGGTAGGACAAGCAGCACGGCGACATGCGCACCCAGCATGTGGGGCTGAACGTTCGAGGCGAGGACAAGTCGATAGCCGCTGTGCTGTCACCATTCCCTCTAAGCAGCAAGAAGGCATACACAGCATGGCTGGACTATGAGCCGGGGGACCCTGACACCATCCAGGTCTTCCTGGCTGACTCGTAGGAGAAGCCACAGAAGGCGGTGCTGGAGAGGAGGCTGGCGCTGTGTGAGGTGCTGCAGGGTGGGGCGGAGCAGCACACCTTCTTCTTTGGCTTTGTGGCCTGCACCACCGTGAAGCCGTTCAGAAGCACGTCATTCTTGAATCTACAGTGGACACATGTTAGCATAGATATGAGCAGAACACCTACACGAGTCAAGTTTTTTCTCGACTCCCTTTTATGCTGAGTCGATCAAGTCTTGATTAGTCAAGTAAAGCTTGACCAATTTTTTTTTTTATACTCATACCTGACTCGTTACTCTCCCTTTTGACAAGCATTTTGAAAAACGAACGAGTTGAACTGCCAATTGGTTAGTGGTTAGGGCCTAAACACAAATCCTTTTTTCTCCAATTGCTTTCTCCTTTCCCAGGCCTTCCTGCTTCTCCCCGATCAGTCACACGTACTCCAGGTGAGAGATCTTTTCTCATGCTCGTGCTTGGTTCTCTCGTTTGTATCCTGCATCCTTCACTCCACTCTCCATGTCCATGTACCTTGTCTTGTTTCTTTTGGCCCCTGTGATATTGAATACGTATGCCTTTGATAGAAAAGGTACGAGTATGAATATTCAGCCAAGGTGGTAAATGGTGCACTATGGACCAACCAACATCCCAAGATCATGTTTACAATATACCATGTCTAAAACAACTGAATAGGAATAAAAAAACGGAAGCTGAGCAACGTTACGGTGTACCGAATTGGGGGAGGTGCCTAAATACAATACAGTTGTCGAAGGGGGTGGAATAAATGGAGCAGGGTGGAACGTAGAGCCTGTTAGACTGTTAGATAGATGTGAAATGGCAATCAACCAACAACCATATTTTATGAGTGAAGAGATGCAGCCCAGCAAAGTATGGGAAACTAACTTGACTGTACTTATGATTGATTGTCCCAGTTCAGATTGCCCTTGGCACAACCTGTGTTCATGACATCCCATTCATTCCCCCATCATGCAACTCTTGAGAGCATCCCAGCCTATGGCCTGCAGCTATTAACAAACACGTACATGCCAGCATGGGCCAGCCCCTTCCCGCGCTACGTGAGTGCGGACTACCGAGTGGCGCCCAGCAAGCAGGACTCGTGGGTTGTCAGCGACTTCCACTCCTGGGACTCCGTGCCCTTTCTCGGCTGGCCCGTCAAGGACCAGAAGGACTGCAGTGAGTGAAATAAATGGCGAACCTGGGAAGCATGTTGGAGCCAATAGCTTCGCTGGTGTGTCGTTGATGGTTGCTACAATCTCTTTGTTCTCCACCTGCTGCTCTGCTGCTGACCACATGTTTCAGCCAGACATCTTGTAATACTCGGCTCAATACGTGCTTAGGATCCACTCTGGTTATTCACTACTTTGATTTAACACTCTTCGAATCCACTTTGTTTATTCACGAAACTGTTCTTGTCATACCCAGATGCTTGCTGGGCGTTTGCGCTGGTGGCGAGTGTGGAAGCGGCATACGGCATTGCAACGAATGGAGAGGCGCCGCAGCTGTCAGTAGAGTCGCTCTTTGCAGCCATGGGGCTCACTTCCAAGGTTGACAAGTGCAGCACGGGGGGCTCCCCCAACGAGGCATTGGAAACTCTTCTCACGCTGCCCAATGGCGGAATCACAGAGGCTGGCGCACCTGTGAGTAGTGTGGTGCAAGAGCAGAAGGTTAGAAAGGATAGATGTTTGTGAGAGAATTGAGAACTCTGAGTAGTGTGCCTGATGTTGAGATGAGTTGCAACGACACTACAACTAGTGACACAAAGGCTCTTCTCTGAGTTCTAGACTTAGTTGTTGTCAGCGGTTGAATTCTCTAACACAGCTGAACAAATTTCTCTAAAGCATAATTTTATCTTGAAGCTGGATATGCTAAAATGGATTGGTCGAGCCAAAAGGCCCAATTTATTCATGCAAACGACAAACAGATTCTACCACGACGAACGGAGAGAAGGCTGCCTGAGCCTGTAAACAAACAACTCGGTATTCGCGTGGCATTCAAGGCTCAACTGAAAAGTCAAATGTTTATACGAATTTGTCGGAGCATGCTATTTGCATTATGTATTATCCGTTCATCAAGTGTTATTGCCATGCTCGAGTGATCAAGGGATTTGTGCACACTGTGGGCTGAGGAGATAAAGCTTTCACGCTCCAGACCAAATCGATTAGGTGAGGGATGACTAGAACTCTGATGAATATATTAAAAAAAATAGAAAAGTGAAAGCTGAGTGTATTCGATTAATATTCGCAATACAACCTTGAACACTATTTGCAATATATCTAGAAACACATTATGACTCCTGCTCTTGTTAGAACCCATGTTTGAGGTTCCATAACACAAGCACATTTCAAGTTAAATGAGATTATTCCATATGTTGTAACCACCTTACTATGCACCCCAATGTTGTACTGCTTGCTAGAATTGGCTAGGTTAAACCAGGTTAGCCTTTACTTGTTGCATGCATTTTCAGCAAGCAAATGTTGTTCTCTTTCTGTTGAGGTCTCTTAATGTGTTTATTTCTCTTCCTTCCAACTTGTTGCGAAATTCCCTTTGAGCTGTCAACATTCAGAATAAGAAGTACCCTGTTCACGCATTTGAGCGCACTCGATTCAAGGGGTTTGTGGGGCTCATGCTGGCAGTTCGACGACAGCCAGTGGTGGTTCACATAGAGGCTTCTGCTCGAGAGTTCGCGCAATATGACGGGGTGGGTGGTGCCTGCATGTACCCTTTATGATGTGCATACGTTGAAAAAATGTTTTACAAAAGTTGTTACCCACATCAATCTGTACATTTTTAAAACACCCATTCCCATCTTTGTTGTGATGTCCCTCTTTCTCTTCAGACCTTCAAGTACCAGGATCCTTGCTGCTACACCGGCAGACTGAACCACGTTGTACTCGTTGTTAGCTACTTCGTCTTCAGAAATGACGGCAGCCAAAATCGCATTGCACCCCCATTTTGGATTATCCGCAACTCGTGGGGAGTGGAGTGGGGTGACAGAGGCCACATGCGTATGGACATTCAGGGAGGTGATGGCGTGTGTGGCATCAACGTGCTGCCTGGCATCTACCCCATTGTCAAGAGTGAGGCACCTACCGTTGAGTGAAGCAACTTCCTTTGTCGTATCTCAATCTCCTCATCCCTTCAACTCAAGTACATCACACGGCCAACAGTCACTGGTCCAAATGAAAGGCACAGAACAAGATGTAAATCACAGCCATGGAGTAGGGTGGACTGGAGACATGGAGAGAAGAGAGTGTGAGGCAGTGCTGTCCATGTTTCGTAAGGTGGTGAGTTTCCAACTCACGTTTTCCCGACCTTACACCTCTCACTTGGCTAGCCTTTCTGATTCCTGCATGCTGTCTTTTAGGGATGAGCAAAAAAACGAACACATGTTCAGTTCGCCTCGAACATTTTTTTGGCTTAAAGTGTTCGCGGAACAGTGTTCGAGGTTCGCCCTAACACGTTTTTGTTCGGGTCGCTGCTGTGATTTGCCCCGCAACGAACACGAACGTGTTCGGAGGTTCGCCCGAACACGCCTTCATAGGCGAACGGCAAACACCTGTTTTTGCTAAGGTGTTCGCTGAACCGAACAGTGTTTGGTTCGCCGAGCAGGGGTGTTCGTGCATGGGCGAACGCGAACACGTTCCTGTTCGCCCCTTCCTCATCCCTACTGACTTTTTAATGAAGCTGCATTTGATGTTACGAGCTCCATTTCTATCATTTAAACCCGTTTCTACTACTCCTCGTCTCATCTGTACCACCCTCCAGTTCCCAAGGACCTGTGCGGCCACAGGAGCTTCAAGGGTGACGGCGACCTGCAGCCCAGCATGAACCCGTGTGGGCGGTTCACATGCCGAGTTAACCTACGCAGTAACACCAACTCGTGTAACTGCTCGCTTCCGAATGAAGCCAGGCAGCCATTTTTTCAAGTTGCAAATGGATACGGATCCCAAACTTGTGCCTATTGTAAGTGGTTTGGTCCTGAAACAATGATGTTCATTCGTGACCGTTGTCAAAAGTTTGTTCGTCTGGTTTGTTCGTCAAAACTTTTCTCAACCCGGATTCTGCTATCTTTTGGGGTTTCTCAAATTCCTACTCCTCCCTCCACGCACTCTTCCTGTTGTTCTCAACACATGTATGTCTCTTCTCGCCTCATCCCTGTGCTCCACAATTGTGGCTCATAATGCCTGCCAGTGGACGTGTGTGGGTCTGACTTGAAGAGCCCCTGCTATGTGGGCACATGCATCAACGACGGCAAGGGCTCCTACTCTTGCATCTGCCCTCCCAACTACGTTGAAAGCACAATCATTGACAGCTTCCCCACCTGCGACCCTGGTGCTGCTCTTTGGCCTTGTTTGCAAGATGGTCACTACTTTTTCCGATTATTATTGTACCAAATGTTGAGGTCATCGCGACCCTCTCAAACTGCTTGTGCTCTTTGGTAGCCATGAGAGAATCACCAAACCGAACTGGTTTGATGACGAACTGAATCGGTTATAATTGAAGCGGACGGCCAAAAACGGCTGCAGTTTGATTGTCTGCAGTTTGATCTGTACATAAGTTTAGTAAGTTGGTTTTCAGTTAAGCCCCTCTTCTTGGTGTGTTCCCCTTCTTTCTATCTCATCTTTCTTCAGCCAACACCACGGCCAGCACCTTGGCAGTGAGTGGAAGCAATTGGTCGTGCTCTGATGTCCTCCCTCTTGTGGGCCTCTCACTTGCACAATTCACGCAGAATAATCCGGTAAGCAGTAGAGATGGCGAGTCTAGAAGAGTGGAGGTGCAGGCAGAGATTGTGACACAGCAGGAAAGCATGAGCTGCAATGTCCTGAGGACTCTACTGAAGTTATTGGGTGATTTGAATGCACGCAGTAGTCCCACGGAATCCGTAACTTGGTTATAATTCAATTTCTGATACGTTTGTGCTCCTCATCGCAGGCCATTGACTGCAGTCGCCCTTTGCCTCGTAACGTGGTGCTTCAACTAGAGAATTCCCTCCTCATTCCCTGCACCGCATTCTTCTACACCATCAGCGTGAGCTTTAGCCCTTGTTCCCTTGGCCAATCTAGCAACCCAACCTACTTCAGCATTGCACGAAGTACAGACGTCTTGCTTTGCCTCCAGGGCTTATGTGTTATACCTTGTCTCCTGCTGTCCTTTACACGCTCACCATGAGCTTTGTCATCTGTTTTGAGCTCAGCAAGGCAGTCTTTATCGTCTCAGCCTAATTTGAATTGGTCATAGTAAACTGTACTTCATTCACCGCAGACATTTGTGCCTTACTCCCATTCTTCAACCCTTCAGAGCGACACATGCTGGTCCATCAGCACGCAGCTGGGCCTCACCAACAGCAACCTCACTGCTCTCAATCCTGGGCTCGACTGCTTTGAGCCCATCAAGGCGAGTCGCTCTCTGTGTGTCGAACGCAATGCCACCTTCGCTTTCACGGTCCCTCAGTGCTCGCAATACGGCATGCTCACACCACAGGACACCTGCGAGCGCCTGCTGCGGCAGGTGGCGGGGAGTGAGGGCGACCCAACAGGGGCAGGGGAGGTGAATGCCATGCGCTGGGCTGAGCTGTACCGCAACAATTCCGGCCTCATCTGCTCCGATGTCATCCCGATCACCGCCTCTGCTGTTGGAAGCAACACCGGCGTGCAGGTGAGTGGTGGAGGGTAGAATAGACCAGGAAAGAGAGATGGGAGGAGAAGGTGGAGGGAAAACTGTGGAATGAAGGGGTGTTTGATGGGTGAGAGTGCAAAGGTCGTCCCTCATGTGCTCTTGATGCAAGATTCGTAAGCCCTTTGTTCCAACTATTTGCCCTTAACCATTTTTTTTTGCAATATCGTTCTTTTTGTGCCAATCTCTTTCTTTTACTCCCTCACTATATGTTCCTTGAACTCCTTGTGGCTGTAAATGGCGCCGTTGCAGATTTGCCTGCGCGTAGAGTATTGGTCATTCGACGTCGGCATATGCAAGAAGGGTAAGCAAAAACCAGTATCACCATCATTGACGTGCTCAGGTGCATATAGCTTCTATGGTGGAGCTCAGAATGGAGCCATTTCAAAATACTACATGTACAATGAGAAGAAGTGTGTTGGGAGTGTAGGCACCAGGTTTATTTGTGTGCCGTAAATATGACTTTGGATACGATATGCCAATCTGCATGAGGGTCCTTATTATTAGAAGAATGTTGTCTATTTCCTAGATATTTATATTGTGTAGTACCCTTGATAGTAACGCAAGTGCGCTTGTAAAAATGGTTTTTTACAAAGGGGCGCTTTTACTTGAGTTTAGGGCAGGCCTCTTGTTATCAGACCAATTTGGTCTGAATTTCTGAATTCCAGACGTGATTTTTTGTATTCATCTGATTTCTAAGAAAATCTGTTTTTCCTCATCTGAGGAGCAAAACAAAGGCTTTACGTTTGTATGATTTTCAAGACCATGTAGAATACTTCGTCTGAATTTACAGATATCGAGTTCGGTTTCGTCTGAAACCGACAAATTAGCCCACTAGGCCATAGGACCACTAGGCCATATGCCCAGTGGACCATAGGACCACAGGTACAAGTATGGTTGCTGCCCTATACCTGCACGCGCATTCAATGTGCGTGTCTTGTAGCAGCCTCGCTGTCACGAACCTGTGACATTTGCTGCCAGGAGACTGTCGTGTAGCTGGTTGTCGGCGGCGACGCCAGCCACAGCCATGGCAACGCGCTGTCACATTGAGCCAGCGCACTTCCCTTTCCTACACGTTACGTAACAATGGACGGTGGTTGTCCTGTCCGCCGCTCCCATCACGCATCGCCTTTTGATGTACACTGCACGATGACGGGGTTTCATGCAGATGAGCGAGGCTTGTTAAATAGGTTGTTTGTGGAGCTCGTCCTCCTCACTTGTCACCCAGCCGAGCATGGTCTATTTCCCTCGTCACAGCTTCTTTCATCTAGTTTAGGCTATGGCCGACCCCACCGCTACTGGTTTTGGCATTAGACTTCCTAACACGGGGCAAGCCGATCGCCCCTGTCGCCCCTCCGATTGCTTCAACACCTGCTGCGGTACCTTCGCCCGTTGATGATATGCCATTGTCAGAAAATGGCGACAATTCTGTTCCATCGACCGCTACACCTACTACGCCAGTATCTACCTGCATGCCGCCCTCCAGTGCCGAAAAGAACGTCCGTTTAGTATCTGACGCTACGAAATCCTCTCTTAAGGCTAACCCCGTCTTGCCCGACAGGTCATCAAAGCAACGGTACAAGCAGCGTGTTCTGAACTTCGCGCGTCCAGGCGGTCCGACTTAGCCGGCACCGTCTGTGGAGGTGCGACCCGTTGCTCCCGAACCGGCAGCTAAAGACTTCGAGGACCCCAAAGGCAAGCAGTTATCGGTTGAGGAGCTTCAGCTGAAGTGCAAGGAGCAGTGGCAGCGATACGTTCCCTGGCTATTCATCTCCGAAACCAAGGATGGCCGACCCTGCATGCGCTGCAGCATCTGCATGGTCTTCGCCGACCCCCATTCCAAGTATGGGCGCTACGGTGTTGGTGGCACCAACATTCAGAAGCAGACGATGCGCAAGCATCACCACAGCGTGAAGCATGAGGCGGCGGTCTTGAGGAAGGAGCAACGTGACGGAGCAAAGAAAGGACAGAAGTCCATTGCGGACTTTCACCAATGGGACGAGGATGTCGAGCGCCTTGCTCGTTCGATGTCCATTGTCTTACTCATTTGTAAATCTGACGCGCCCATTGTGCTCTTCGTGTCACTCGTATAGTTCACGGCTGAGCATGGGGACTTTGGATCTGCCCCTTAAGGAGAACGGCACGTACTACAGCGAGTAAGTGTCCCGTTCGTCTTGTTCTAAGGTTTTGTAATCGCATAGATGCTAATGTTAATATCCCTGCATTTTTCAGGTACGGCTTCGCACAACTGGTCGAGACCATGGTGTGCTACCTGAAATCCCGCCAGCTGAAACACATCCACGAGAGTCCTTACCTTGGAATCCAGCTGGACGAGAGCACCGACCGACGGAAGGGGAAACACATGATCGTCTACATGACTTTCATGCGTGACAACGCTGCCGTCACCGTGTTCTATGCATTGCTGACTGTGGAGCAGTATGACGCTGGTTCTCCTTACCCATTTGGAGTGTAGCGGCATCAATCTCCAGCGAATCGCCGGTATGAGCACTGATGGAGCTAGTGTCATGATCGGCCAGCACAACGGAGTGACCGCGCACCTCAAAGAGAAGGTTCCACGTATCGTGTCGTCACGTTGCATCGCGCACAGGCAAGTGTCCTCGTGCAATTTGTTAACCCGGGCGTGATCGTTTTTTTATTTCTAATGTTTCGTTATATGGGTTGCAGGGAGGCCTTGGCAGCCAAAGATGCAGCACCGAAACACCCGGACTTCAACGTCATGGACAAGGTCGTTCGGTCCGTTGCTGAAAACCTCAGACGTTCTTTGGTCGTCCACGCCCGTTTTATTGAGCTGCAGGAGGTCATCTGTGAGACCAACCTCGAAGTTCAAGGGATCAAGGACGTGCGCTGGTTGTCTCACGGTCAAGCTCTCGGGAGACCTGGTGAAAGTGTTTCGGCGGCAGCGTTTGTCTTGCATGAGTTCGACAACAAGATGTACAAGGTCATCACTAGCTACAAGTTTTAGTTCATGATGTTTTTCCTAGCGGATGTGCTGAAGGAGCTCAACCTTCTGAGCTTGAAGTTCCAGCGTCGCTAGGTAAGCGTATGTTATGCATGATACTCGTTTATTTTTAACCTCGAGTTAAGTACTAACCTCTCTTGTGCTTGTTTGCAGGTTGACGCGACCCATGTGCTGCCGATGGTACACAACATGACTTTGCTGTTGCGCACTCGTTACCTCGACAACGACGACGAGTCCTTTGGACAGGGCGGAGATGCGCTGGGCCCCTTTCTCAAGAAGCACGCATCCAGGGAAAAGAGAGAGGTGAAGGTGGCAAGCACGTCGTCTGACGGTACTTCGTCCAACCTTCGCTATACACTCAACGAGGAACCCATCGATGGGTAGAAGAGCCGTGCGAGCCACGGTGCGTGTTTAAAGCTGGCGCGCGCATTCGTGGCGACCTTGATCGGTAGGCTCGACTACTGCCTCAAGGACCTAGCCAACCTTGACGGGGCGAAGCTGTTCAAGCAGGGCTCATATCCCAAGAGCCAAGCGAAGCGCGAGCGGAAACTCGGACAGTGGCTGTAGTCTCTGCGCAATATGTTTAAGAGGAAGCCTAAAGACCTTGACACTCTACCAGGTGCGTAAGATCCTTCAACATTCATGCGTATGTTATCGTTGCTTAACCAAATTAATGCATTTCATTCTTTACCAGATTGACTCATTTTGTTGCACCTACTCCCCTTTGCGGACCCCAACCCACAGGCATCAACTGGGCGCTCGCATAGAGGGAGCACGTCACATTCTCTACCATCATGGCCACACACCAGGAGGATGTGAGCTTTGCGGACAGCCAGAAGCTCATGATGCCCTCTCCTGATAGGACGACCTGCTACCTGAATCTCGTGCACCTGTGGATCGCCGTCGCCGTTCTTCCGCTCAGCACGGTGGAGTGCGAGCGCGGCTTCTCTCGGCAGAATGTAATCAAGAGCTAGCTTTGCGGGAACCTGTGTGACGCGAAGCTAGGGGAGCCGATGACCATCTCGCTTCTTAGCTATGACATGGAGTGGCCGGAGTTACGGAAGAGGATTAATGCTTCCAAGAAACGCAGGCCTGCTAAGGATGTGCTGATGGCTTCCGAGGAGAGACAAAGCAAGCGCGCAAAGAAAAGATCTGCCTCAGCAGCAGCAGCAGCCGCAGCATTGGCAGCAGCAGAAGCTGCAGCCCGAGAAGCAGCCCTAGCAGTAGAAGTCGCAAAGCTTGATGTAGAGTATCCCTGGCTCAGTCGGAAGGACAAGGAAAAGTTCCTGACCCTTTTGCGGAAATCGAGGATGACACCGATGATGACGAAGACAGCGGCGATAGTGACTCTGACTAGGCTGATGATGAAGACAGGAGCGATCGTGACACTTGACTAGGTTGTCTAGGATGTGCTAACTGCTTAACACGTTGATAGATGTATGGCATAGTTAGGCTAAGTAGGAAATTCAACGTATTATTACTTTGTAGTAGGTTCAGACCGGGGAAGTTATTTCGTATGATGGATCAGACTTCATAGAAATTTTTGTCTTAAGAGTCAGATAGCAGAAAGTTGGTGATCTTGGCGTCAGACGAAAAAAAATATATATATACTGTCAGACAGGCCCAAAACCTAACAAGAGCCCTGGTATAGGTATAAGCCCATGTGCTTATATAATGACAAATACAAGCACCAAATTGTACGTTTCATTCTTGCCATTTCCACCAAGTCGAAATCATGGACATTTTTCCAAGGGTATGTTGCATTGATTCCCCTTCCTAAAAGCCAATTTCTTTTACGTATACCTTAATTTTGGAAGACCAGCTGTTTTGCAACCCTTTCCGAAGATGTGTAGCAATCTTTAAACCCTGTGAAAAGCAGGGTTGGTGTTTTTGTTCCCGTAGCAATCAGGGTTGGTTAAAAAGAATCCTTTTATTAAATCCTCGCTTCTATAGTTTCACACATAGTACCCTTTTACCCTTCTGTATTTCCCTTTTACGAGTTTTGTATAATTCTGCCGAG